TCGAATAATCGGTGTCCATACTAGAAATTATAAGCACCGCAAGAAAGCATGACGATACTAACTCCGAGCATGAAGATAGAAAGCTCAAACATGACAGTAGAAAACCCAAGCTTGACGGGATCAAAATCAGTAAGTACGCTCCATCTCATCGAGCTTGACATGGTGCATCTGGTATCAAAGATAACAGTAAGGTAACTACCCATGACTATCTATCCTAAGATGAACGAACCAGCTAGCACATCCTAATTATCCTTGCGACTCATTTCGACTTGAAAAACGTTTAAAACAAGTCCCAAGCAAGCATCGTATAACCATGCTTTGATACCACCTTTGTGACACCCCCGATCTGGTCTAAGTATAAGTTGACTAGACCGGCCGTGCAACAATCAAACAAGAACATGCACAATCGATCCCTCATAACTTAAACCAAACCGAGAAGCCACAATGTGTACATAAATGACTAACCCGAAGTTCCCGAAATAAATCCAGGTACCTTAGGCCAACCGCTAAGTACACATATCCTATTAGGTACAATACGAGGCTTTAAAACCTTAAGAGTAATACCCAATAGTTGGTTCGTTCGGACAAGGACTAATATCAATTAGGAACCCGTACATTAAAGAAACATTCTTTATATATACACTATATACTTATTTATTCAAAAGAATCTTACAAAATCTTATAGATTAACCTCGAGGTTTTCGGTAACAAACTTTATACATAAGGTATTTGAAAACGACTTTGCAAGGATAATAAAAATACTGCTGGCTGAAGCCATTCCTTCCCGTCCTATAGTAAAGGTCTCCCGCCTACTGGTTACCTGCATCACAAATGAGTCATGAGTAACTAGTTTACTCAGTGAGTCTAATCCCATACCCCAATACATATCCCGAGCAATCAGAAACACTTGAATGTAGTGGAAATATATTCCATAACTAGTATGAATATATACGGCATATCATTTGATCAATGTGAATATAATCTTAAACATCACTCCCGTATAACCCACCATTCACTCATACATAATATATATACTAAACCCGGAGAACCACAAAGGCTAACCGAGCCTAGAGGGGAAATAAATATTAACTATATTCTCCATCAGATATTCTAAGATCGAATATCTAACGCTGCATGCAGTTACACGGCCTCCAGGGTGCGACCCCATCATCGTGTCTTCGTGACCTTGTTCCATATCGCAGGAACAATTCACGGTAATGCTGGAGTTTCGGAAGAGCGAATGTGATAAGACTTCACATGATTCTTACTCATATACTTAATTATATACTTATATATTAGTACTTCAGAACAAGTACTAAGGCTCAGGATAAACCTCAAATAATATTTCAAAATTATTCTTAAGTGTTTACATAAGTAAACACTTCACCATAATTATAGGTTAAGATACTTTGCTAATAAATCAATCATATTCAGTAATTAAATTAAGCAACACTCTTTCATAAATCATCATTCATCTATCTAGACTCACCTTTGAGTCCATGAGATTGGCTAAGGAAGGCTAGACTCGAGCTCACTCTAATCACATTCCACTCTACTCCTGATTTAGGACGTCCACAAGGAAGAATATGTTTGATCCTACACTGACCTCGACCATCTGAAACAAGGCAGTGTGGTGCAGAAAATCATCAATCCAATAGTTTGGTTCTGAAGAAGAAATTTAAATCAGTTTGGTTCATGACAAGGCTTAGAATTTCAGATCAACTTAGACTAGATCAGGATAGAAAAGTTCAGACAATTGACAGCTCGGCTCAAATCAGTTCAAGACAAGAAGAAATCTATTCGGTTCAGAACATTGATATTCCGGCAGTTTGGTTCAAGATATGTACTTAAATTAATTCAGTCCAAGCTCGGTTCTACTCATCCTATATTATATCAGCTCGGTTAAGACAAGTTGGATGCAGGACAAGATAACTTCAGTTCGGCTTAGGTCTGATCAGTTCACATCAGGTTAGCTAGCAGTTCAAAGAGATGCATCCAAACCGAAACTAAACAAGACTGAACCGTATAACAACTTAAACAACTGATCCGACAGCACCTATGTTAAACATAAATAAGCTCTGATCAAGACAGATCTGTGGCCAAGAGAAGAAGATTACCCAAAATCCAAATGATAAGATGGACTTAGATGGTTCTCTTCTTCAAGATTAGCTCACCGCTGGACTGTTTTCAAAGAGACATCAAGCTTCAGTTCAAATCAGAAACAGAACAAGAACTAGGGTTTATTATGGATATCTCACCTTCTGATCTTCCCCACAACAACAGACTGAAGAAACTGATGGAAGAAAATCACCTAAGACACTTCTTTATTTTTCTCTGATTTTTCATGATTTGTTTTACAGATTTTTCTTTGAATCTTTCTCTCTTTCTCTCTAAATTTTTCTGTTTTTCTTGCAGCATCAGGACGTCCAGGGATAGAGATGAGGGTATTTTATAGCACAGGTAGTTGCTTCAGCTGAGGGTTTACTTAATACAAAGCAAGGCAGAGAGTGGACAGATGGAGAGCTGCTTCAGCACTTTCCAGCCACCAAACAGCTTACACTTTCCTTCTCATGAAGAAATCTTTCCAGTCCCCTTTCTTTTTGTTTTAGTTTACTAAGAAGGAGAGGAAGCACACAGGTGAAAGTCATGTGACTTAATTAATAACCAAGCAAACAAGAAGACTGCAGAGGAGAAGGAATAAAACGGGCCAGAAACAATTATAAGGCTGGTCAATAATTTTGAACAGTTTCGGCCAAATGTATCTCGTCCTTCAAATCTCTTCCATTAATTCTCATCCCGCTCTCGAATAAACTCGTTCACCATAAATAAAAATCGACCATAGTAATTAACACTTGACCAAAAATATGAAGGGAAGATCTTTCGACCACAAGACAGTCCCGTCGAGACATTAATTCACCGGGTCAATTTTTATTTATAAAACAGATGGACCAACTCAAACTGGTCGAGCGGAGTTTTTCTCGACCAAAAATTAACTGGCTCGTGAGGGTTGTTACACCCATGGCTTGAAGAAGTAGCAGCCCCAACCACTTACGCTTTTCAAAACTCCAAAGCGGACATAACTCTAATGTTGCCTTCAGTTAATCTAACTTGGGACCCATCCCCAAGCGGCACCTTCAACTCCTCCCAAAAATCTTTGTATTGATCAGGTTCAAAACTTTCTGTAGGTAATTTACCTGTGTTTAACCCAGTGATCTCATGAAACTCGAGCAAGCTAAACCTGATAGCTCATCAACCACGAGACACCATATCTCCTTCTTATGTACTCGCACCTGTCTACAAAGTAGATAGTGTACGGTCCTACCAAACCAAATGATTTCGCGTCCAGCTAACCTAGCAACTACTCCAATGGGAGAGTTCACCAGTTCTTCCCACACATCAAGTCCTATTGTTTCTCGAACATGTGGAAAATGTCCTGGACAAAAATTGTGATTAATATATTTACCTTCTAGGTTAGAAGACCCTTCAGGGTAAAGTCTCGGAGGGTAATCCCGTGATTTAACTTCACCAACATCCATCTGATCATATAACACAACAATAAATCAGCCACAACATAATAGTAACTTAGCCACATAATAAAAATAACTCACCCACAACATAAGAATAACTCAGCCAAAAAAAATCACAGCAACTTAGTCGCGGCTTAGCGATGACTAAGCCATAACATAACAATTACCCACTCGGAACAAAACCTAACTCAGTCGTAACAAACCCCTGACTCAAGATGCAACAAAACCCTAACTCAGACATAACAAAACTCTCAACAAACCCATATCAGTGAGTCTCCTACTCAGACGCAACATAACCCTAACTCAGACAAAGATTCACCAACGCTACCTCCCAAGAAGAGATATTAGAACTTCTCGATGAGCGGAGATGTCATCGATAAATCTTGAGGTAGGGCAACGACGAAAGTAAAGAAGATTTGGAGAGACGACTTATAGTGAAAATCTTTTTGATTTTGATGTAGAAACAGAGAGTTTGTTCGAGGAAGAGGAAGTAAACACAATATCGACGCGGATTTCAGAGAGTGGGAGTATCCTTGTGGTTCCTTCCTCAAGACGATTAACTTCTTCTTTTCTTTTTTTAACTAGTATGTAGTTGCGGAGAAGAAGATGGTTTGATTTCTGTTTTGGTGATGTAGATTGTTAATTAGTGATGTGGATTTATAAATTAAAAACATAAATTCAATTAAAAAAAACTAAACAAAAGTCCTTATTGTCATTTACTAGGGGTATCCAAATATTATATTAATTTTAAAAAGATATTACACACTTTAATAATAAACCAAATTTTCTTATACCTTCTAGTAATTTTCTCTAATTTTAATACTAAATTTGGTGTTACCATCAAAATTGCCCTAAGGAAATCTACCCCTATACCTACAAAAACAACACAAGTTTACTAGTAACCATAACTTCCTTTTCCTATCTTTCTATCCTCTCTCGCCGAAACCAATTTTCCTTTTTTTTGTTTTGTTAGTACACAATTAAGCCCAACCTTTTTCACTGTACCACACAAAAGTAGCCAGACACCAAAAATGCAAAAAAGAAGAAGAAGATTCGAACACATAACCATTGGTAGAAAGAAGCAACGAGTGGGCCTCTCCTTACAATTCGTCTTCATCTTAAAGATCATTGATTATTTAAAAGGCACCAATAATTAACACTGGATCATGACATCGCAACCACAAGCTAGTCAGAGATCGCGACCACCATATTAGCCTTCTTCGGAGCTTGTAATGGGTTACATTATCTGAAATTGTGTAGAAATCAATTTAAGAAGTAACTAACAAACACATAGTATTACTCATATAATACATACACGTTTCCACCAGTGGTGGAGATGCAACAACAAATGATACAGACTCGAGAGATAGAGCAAAACCAACTTGTCGCTCTATTTTTGGACTTTTCTTACATAATAACTACAAGCTACAAAATTACTAAAACAAACTCGTAGAAAGACCTTTTTTTTTACTTTTAACCGATCTTTGAGATTAAACTGGCACGGAGCTGTTCCTGCGTGTATATTCTGAATCCCATCTTCACGGTGGCTTGCTGAATCATCAGATCGTTAACCACGGACATGCTCGCGTGATTCACCTCAAGCTCTAGATCCATCAGCGCCGACATCAATCTCGCCGCGGGATGATTTCTCTTGCTCGA